AGCTGACACTGTGAGTCCAGACAAGGCAGGCGAAGGAAATTCCAGGAACTGTCGGGGGCTCCTTGACGTGCTTTGGATTTGACTGCTGGGGCAGCAGGGATCCAACAAAAGCTTGTGTAGCTGTCCCTCAGGACAGCCTCTAGCTTCAAGGGCAGCTATTATGGCTTAATTCCTGGCACTAATTGGAATTTTTCCAAAGTACTGAGACACAAACAGTGATATAAAAGCACACAGGTAATCTCTACATTTTATTTGATCTGTATAGAAGCAGGGAGACAGAAGAATGGGTTTTGGAGATGCACCTCTTTTTGTGAGAAGCAGGAAGCTGGCACAGCGAATGATGAAGAACACCCCTGAAGGCGGTGTGCGCCCTTAGGCACTCCTCTCTCTTCTGCCAGCGCACAGATGCGTTTCTGCAGCACAGTGCTTCCACAACTGTCAATTTATTGCACCCTGCACTCTCTGACTTCCTCCATTCCACCATCTGAGTGACACATATATAAAAGAAACTCCACTGGAGGCCACGTGCATTGTCCGGGAATTTGCCCTTTCTATTTAACACAGAACAAAACTCGAATTTCTTCCCTTTCGCGATTTCACTGCCAACACTTACCACTTTAATATCACATGGCTCACCTCCACAGTGACATGCAGGATACACCACATATTACAGGAGATGCCCCAAGAAAACTCCAGTCCTCCCGGCAGGCAGTAGGAAACTCACCATTACCATTCCCTGGTGACTAGCGTGCATGCCGAGACAGTGGTTTGCATTTTCTATGCTTATTTTTCTATTACTAAAGTGGGATTAACAGTGTTCAGCAACAGCTTTTGAGATCTACAAATTCTTCCTGTTACAGAACAGTATCATGAAGACCTATTTTTCTCTAAATTAGAAACAAATCTTTCATTAACTGATTATTCCAATATAATTCTTACATTCTAAAATTCTAAAGTTTGCTAACCAAGCACATAACACAACAAGCATTTCAGATGCTACCAAAATACCAGTAATGAGAAGTAAATTTTTTCAGTTGTGGTTTTTGTGCTTTACTTTGTTCCCTAACAGATTTTGAGGGGGGGGGGGGGGGGAACTGTACAAACTCTTTTTTAAGGAAAAATCTATTTTCAGTACCAATGAAATTAATCATATTACGACAGGAAAGCAAAATTGTTTCATTTCATAAGATCTTCTAACAGCATGAAGCTAACCCCATGGTCTCTGAGACAGAAATTCTGCCAGCTATAGACTTATAAAGAATCAGCAGAGAAAAAAGAAGTTTCTCAGATGGAACTGTTAGTCATAATATGAAGAATGTGTGTCCCCTACAGATGTTACAGCTATTTGTATGATAAATCCCGATCATCACTACAGGAATTTTACAGCCTTCTTTTAAGTTAATGCTTAAGTTCAAATTAATCTTCTTTTGACAATCTTTGCCTAATATTTCAGTGTTGAACAACATTTCCAGGGTTCCATTTACCGGGCACTTCTAAAGCTATATTCCAGACTTCGTACTTGCTTCAGAAATACTTGTTTTAATTCTTCAATGCTTCAGAAATATTTCTAGGAAAGACAAGTACAATAAGCATTGATAAATGCTTAACAAGGGCACATCTAGACCTGCATGTTAACTGGAATTAACATTAGTGTTAATTTAGAGCATGTGACAAGATGTAGAACAACTCCTTGGAAGAAAATACTCATTCTGAATAAAATTACCTCATTCTCACATTCAACACTTGAACTGTTCTGAGTAACGTGAGATAAACGAGAACAAAGCATCTTGGTTCCAGTTTGCAGCATCATTGGTTTACTCAGGAATCACAGTCTGGGGAATTCAAAATGAAATGAGGGATACAAAAATACCTTAAGGTGTCTCCAGGGAACTCGAGGTTGCATAAATATAGTCATTGGTCTCAAAAGGCAGCAGCCCATTTAAAACCAACACTACATTTACACACCGTGAAGGCCCACATTATGCAGAACATCGTGCTACAGAGGGCACTGCACCCCCTCACGCCAGAGAAATATTTATTTACAAGGATGCCTCTCTGCCATCACCAACACATCCTTCCACCTGCTGCCTGCACCCTCCTGTTCACTCAGAGGCAGCAGGAGGTCTCTGCCTGTTGTCTGGTCTTGGATGGCAAGCTGTTTGGTGGAGAAACAAAATCAGCAATGTTTTGTTCGAGTGATAGATGTTGACTTGATCTCAGTATCTCCACTTCTCCCCTGCTCTCACTTATTGGGAACAAAATATGGACTCTAAGTGCTTTCACAATCTATCGACAAGAGCTTCTGGGTGGAAGAAGCGAGCACCATCCCTGTAAAGGGAAAGCTGCTGTACATTTCACAAAGAGAAAGATTTTTTTCAGCCTTGGTGTTTCTGGCCGTGAAATGCACTTCTGAGGCTATGGATTTTCTGTGATCTCTTTCTTCTTAAAATGCCATTTTTATTGTGTGCTTGATCTGTTTCTTCTATCTTTTAACATCTATCAATGGATGAGACACTGAAAGAGGCAGCACTGATGAGACCGAGGCATTAAACCTCAGTAATTCTCAGTTCCACACAAAATATTTGGGGCAGAACATAAAATGAGATCAGGAGCCCAGCCTGGCCTGGCCAGTCACACATACAGTGGATCACTAGGTGAGGAGCCTTCAACACCTTGGGGGATGACCATGGTCCCATGACAGGAAAGCCTGAAACTATTCCAACCAAAGACTTCCCAATGGATTCAGGGGAAAGGGATCACAAGCAAAAGATGCAAGTGAGACTCCTCAGAAAAAGGAGGAATAAATCTATGAAATTTCTCAGCCGCAGACCTTCCCATACTGTATGCCTGATGGTACACAAAGCACTTCAAAGTAGCAAGCGGCACAGCACAAGCAAAATCCCTGTTGACATTCACGGTACCTGCTGATGTTGAAACAAAGCAAAATAACATTAATCACCTGCTGCAGAGAATTCTGTTGCGCGACCAGAGAATACTTAGATGCAGAAAAAAAGAGTGGAGGCAGAGAAGATCTTGGGTCTTTTACTGGTCATTTATGCATTTTTCGCGTGGTGTCCTATAAATGGTCTTTACTTCCAATTCATTTTACAACCTCTGTGGGTTCTGTGCTCTTGGGGAGACAAAACTGCGTCAGGCATTTAGAAGGGCGGAGCTCTGACCTTATAAGAATAACGCCTAAGGAGTGCCTTCAGAAGAGCAGGGCAGGGAGAGCAACTCTTGTCCTCCAGTCTTTGGGCAGCTGGGGTTTCCAACATCCCTGTGTGAGAAATAAGAGACAACCCGCGCCCAGAAAACAGACCCAAGCTCAAGGAAACCAAGCCTATGGAGCCCACACAGATGAAGAGGAGACATTCAAGAGCTCACGCTCAACCTACAGAGTCCAATCACCAAGGCCTGGTGACATCCACTGAGCAGGCATTTGCCATAGCTGCAAAGGTGCCAACCTTTTTATCAATACTCTGTCCTCCCTAGGAAAGACCATACCCCTGCCTTCGCTGCAAGGACAGCAGCACACGGAATAGTGCATGTAACAGGAGAGCTGCTTCAAAAGAAAAAGTCAGAAAAAATGTTTGCAGCTTACCCCACTGAGCAAATCAAAGTTCTGCAGGGAGCATTTCCCCCTCAACAGAAAAGTCAGACATTCGACTTTCTGCTCCACGCTACAGGTTTGGTGACATTATTAAAAGAAAGAAGCTGATGGCAGACAATGTGTGAAGCATCCCCCCATGTAAAACTGTTTTGTCAAGATTCAAGGAGCAATCTTAGCACAGAGTTCATTCAAGCAATATTTAAAGGAAGTAACCTCAAATTCACAGACTAAAATGGTAATAGAAGCAAGATGACTCCAGTAGACAAGATGTAGGCATTGGCTATATAAACGCTTCCTGCTGTAGATTTCACTCCTATACAGTTCCAAAGATAAAATCTAATGTGGAAAGAAAAAGCAATGTAATACCTCACATTTCAAACCTAAGTCATGCTGTCACTGGGATAAAAGCAAACATGCTATTTCATACATAGTCTGATTAATACATACTGTAAAAGTCGTATCATTATAAGCAATTACAATCACTGCATGAAGAAAATCATATAGAAGATAACATTGGCCTAAATACAAAATTTTCATAATAATATTACGTTTTCTGTTTGAAGTAGTTGTTTTCATCTTAACAAAAACACGTATTTTGAATGACCTTTTCAGGCAATGGACATTTCAGCTAGTTTCAGGGCAACAGCTCATTCTTAATTTACTATTGTTTAATTTTCAGGAACACCCAGGAATAGTTAACTGAATAAATAACAGTCTGGTATTAGGATCTCTCTTCTTCCCCCAACTGTTCCCATTTGCTGTCCTGTGTTTTTTGTCTTGTTAGATACACATTAACCTGTTAGACTGACCTTCACTTCCCTCCCAGTCCCTACAACACATTAAAATTCTTTAAAAAGACAACTTGAGAGAGACTGCCTTTTGGTAAACCTCCTAAAGCAAGCTCTACAGACTGGTCTGGCATGCATTGTGTACATGCATCTGTCACGAAAATTTGATGACAAATCATCTGTTTCCTGACAGATAGGCTGCACTGACTTCAAATTCCCATGAAATGTCTTTGTCCAATAGGAAGAAAAACATTCTCCTTTAAAGCAGTGATTATTCTCAAACTTCAATCCTCCATTTGCTTTACTCTGTATTATCATTTATTTGTACTATAATTTTTGTGGATCAATTAAAGCCTGTCGCAAGATACATCTTCCCGATCATCTTTTGGGAAAACGTAAAGAGACAGGAACTAAGGAACAGAATGAAAGCAAATGTTTCACAGTAATAATGCTATTTTCAGAGGGTGAGAAATGAAGATCCTTTTTAAGACTGACCTACCCCAGTTTGTTTAAAACTAAACTGAACTTGAACTGATAAACTACTCTTTTGAGATTAACCTGAATAGTGTACATTCAGCAAAACACTGTAAATCTAAACATACCTGAATTGGAGTCAAACTTTGTTTCTGACCTGCAAAAGAAAATAAAAAGATCGTAAGTCACAAGAACTGCTTTATGCCATAGAAGCCATTTGTCAGACTGATCCCCCAGCAAACACCGTCTTTAACAAGACTGTCTACCTCTGTACATTAACACTTAATGTATTCAAGAGCATTTGAACCCGAATAGTAACTATTATCTTTAACATTTTGGGTTTTTTACAATGTAGAGTTACAAAGAACATATTTTAAATGACAAATCACAAAATTCATGCAGAAAATAGAATATAAATTTAAAACAGGATTAAATTATATGCTGTGAATCCTGGAACACAGTTGTTCCTAAGAAATAAATATTGTTTTCATTCATTTTCATTTTTGAAAAGTCATTAAGAGGATTTAATTTATTCATGAATGTTTCCAATCTATTTTTGAAGCAGATACCGTTTCATTAATGTCATATGTATTGTATCTAGTGATCTGTACTTAATTGTACAACATCCTAGGAGGGTTTTGTTTGTGTGTGTCTTCAATTTACTCACTCTGCACACAGGAATAAGTGGTTTGATTTTCTTAAAAGTGGAAAGCGGGGGGTGGGAGAGAGGGAGAGGAAGGGAGCCAGACCTAAATTTTAACTTGTTTTAAAGTCTTTGCAAAAAGACAATGATGTGTGCATTATGCACCATTAGCTGTGGTCGTGCACTGCAGATTTTTCTCTCTCTAACAAGTAGTGTTTTATTCTAAGGGCTTAGCACCTAGCAAATGAACCCTATAACCTGTATACTTAATAAAAGGAAGAAAAAATTAGCCCTTGTGGGAACATCATGTTTCAGATATAGGTTAATAATACTTGTAAATGTAGAAGCCTTTGAAGATCTCAATTCAACTGTGGGAAAACTTAAGTTGGGTAATTACTCTCAAGATGCTGCTGATGTGCTGTCAAGCAGAATTAACCCTATGACTAGGCCTATCTACACAATCTGCTATAAGACAGCATTTGTCCATATCGAGCTCTCAAACCAATTAACGGGCATGTTCCAATCAGATTTATATTGCCCGCTAACAATCAGTTGTATACACGGTCATGGCTGTCACAGCAGGACACAAGGTCTGACCAGCAGGAGACCTGTTAAAGGATGTTATGATGGCAGAAAAATACATTTCCCCAGAAATTCTAAGGAGGAAGTACAATGTTGGATCCTTTTACGTTGCATCAGGGAGGGGATGTATTTTGGGAAGTTGCAGTCCTTCTTTTTTCAAAAATAAATGACTGAAGCTCAAGAACTAACTGCAGATTTATTTTCTTCTTTTATTTTGTAAGCTTGTACGTGCAGGTATGTGTACATGTATTTCACACGTACTCTACATATTTTATATAATTGGCATTGTAATTCCGTACTAAAGATTTATGCTACAGCAAACAAATATCAAATCAAATATTAAAAAAGAACACGTTCACACTATTAGTTACAGTTAAAGCCACCAAAAGGAAACAACTCCCTTCTCCCTTCCCACTGATTACCCACCTTACCCTAGTGCTTGCAATCTTTTATGTCTTAAATATAACTCCCAAGTGGTGAAATGATGGAAGGGAAAAAAACATAACTTATCTTCCTAATTGGTCCTTGTAGAGTACTACCAAAAGCGCTGCAGAAAGAATGTCGCTGACCTGCCTTCAAAATAACTGCCCAGGCCACCAGCCCATGCTCCTGTTTGGCAGTGTACTTCAGCTGGTATTCACACCCAGCGAAAAGGCGCATGACAGTAACTGGGGGGAATTCCACCGATTTCCGGGTAAAGCCACTTACTCGCTATTTTACTTACAGTATTCTCCTTAAGCTGCAGTCTATCTGTCTTGACTGTTGTCTCCTGCCCATCACTGCATCAGCAAGAAACACCTCACCACTTACACAGTCAGAGACAATGTACGAATCTTACCCTCAGCGCCTGTTTATCTGCGCAATCAACTTCTCGCTGCCTAAATGCGAGATACACGGTGTCAGTCGGTCAGACAAAGACCCTGGTTCTCAGCCTCCATGGCCTGGCATGGACATATGCACTGCAACTTGCAGCATCAACAAACTGGCCCAGGGGCCAAGATGGCAGCGAGTACGTGGGGAGGAGGGTCACAGGGGTCACTGGGCACTGCGATGAGTACCAAAGCTCCAAACAGTCATAAATTACTGCACAACAAATCAGGAAACCGGTACAGGGCAATAACTGAATGGAACTTTGTCTGGCAACAGCAGAATAGCTATGAAAGAAAACACAGCATGGGAGGTAGTGCTAGGAGCCATCGAGAGGAGGAGGGTCACCTACGTTATGGTCACCATGTCACTTTGGGAAAACAATGCAAAATTTAGGACATAGCATTACAGAAATTGTTAGAGGTGTTAGCATGGCACAGAAAAAAAGGGAGAAAAATAATGAAGTGTCTTTGGCACTGCAAATAAGCAACAACTAGCAGATGCAAAAACACCAAGTCATCTTGACTATCTGAAGGAATGACAAAGCTTCCAGCAATTTCCATGGAAACAGCACTTTTCCCCTAGATCTTCCAGTACTCACATCTTTTTCTCGACGGCACGCTAGACAAACGTATCAGAAACTAGTTGCACATAGGTGTTAAAAATATGTAACTAAAAAATGGTGAATAATTAGGACAAAATTAAATGCTGAAAGTACGTTCCAAAGGGACATTCTGCTACATACAAAAGTATTTACTCTGATTCCTTTACACTTTTAAAACTACATTAACTAGAAGGAAAAACTACTCTGTACATAGTTTGTTATCACTGTACATACTCTGATATCCAACCTAAGCTTCCTATCAAACAAGATGCACCTTACAGAGCCAGGCATCGACTTTACAAACTGTCTTTCATCATTTAACACACCAAGAGGGGAAAAAACCCGCAACAAACAGAGAGTAGCTTTGTGCATATTTTCTCTACTTTTGCCCATAGGACTACTCTTAAACTCAGGGAAACATTCATAAATATCTTTGGAAAGGAGTCTATATGCATAAAGAGAGCATGACAATATTTCTAAAGTGCTTTCCATTTCCAACTGTGATACGACTCAAATACACACAACACACACACAGCAATACAAATGCCAAGTAGCTCATCTCCCAACATACAATATGCAAGGAAATAGTGAGCTACTGGAAAGGTTTTTAGCTAAGGACAAGTACTAAGAAAGAGAGAGAAACGGAGTAATGATAATCACCATGTGTTCCTATAGGGTGAATTTTCAACTACTCATTCCAAAGTATGACTGAAGTGCAGTTGTTCAGTGCCACATACTACAGCGTGACCAGACATACTACAGTTGAAGCTAATACACATCTGCTATTTGCCAGCAAAGTGGGGTTTTTGCAAGGAGAAGGGAAAGAGGACTTACTGCACAACCTCTACTTTGCCTTACAACTGCCCTCTTCTTTCACCCTTCCTGATGAAGTCTTTGTCAGGTTTATTCAGGTTTTGTTGAAGGCCAGCATTGGGAGCAGCCTCTGAAAGCCCCACAGCTCTCTCAGAAAGCACCTGATGAAACCTCTGCAGTTTTGATCCTTTCGTTTTCACACTGAAAGAGGCATTGACTCCTCTTGGCTTTCTTACACCTTTGAACTAGCAGTTTAAACCAGGTTGTTCCTTTGCAAGGTTTTGCTTCAAGGATGCTAAACACAACATTGGTAGGGACAGACACTCAAAATACTACTCCTCTCTGCAAAGGACTTTGACTTAATAAGATCAGTTGCAGTTGTAAAGGTGATAGGTGCAGCTTTGGTATGTGTTCATTTTCAAAAAGAACCTTTATTCCATATTGGCATGGGCCGTTTGCTGAAGAGACAAGGACCTAGCAGGCTCCTGATGCAATCCAAGCCAAGCAATGTCCCGGTCCAGGTGACTGAGCAGAATAAAATCATTGTTCTCTTTCCCGTTTACCCCCAGTAGTACAGAAAATACCAAGTTGGAGTACCAGCATTCTTGGCTACAGCATTGCTAGCAAGCTAAAGAAGGTCAGGACACAAGTGGTCAGTTGTGAACACGTCCCTGGGCACTACACTGGCCCACAGCATGTTCATGCAAACTAGCACTGCCCAGACAGGACCCAGGCAAGCTGCAGGAGAGGCTCAGGCCAGGGATGAACCAGGCCACTTTTGCTTTGGAGGATAGGAATTTAGGCTAACAAACACAAGCCATGTCTTGTCACTTGCCTTTAGGGCCAGATAAGAGACTTTTGTCCGTTTTGTTTACAAGTATGGACACAGCCCTTCTGAAAACGTAAACCATTACTTGGAAGCAGTCACTGATCTTACGAGCCCAAGCTCCAAATAACAAGGCAAGCTTCCAGAAGGGAAAACGCAGCAGTATTCCAATGTAAAAACTAATACCTGATGTAACTATCTAGGAATTTATGAGACCTGCACCATCAGGGAATTTGAGAAGCCCCCAAGCATTAAGAACCACGTAGTTCTGCGGGCAGCAGAAGTAGCAAAGCTGGGTTTGCTGCTGCGTTGTGGCCAGGGGACAGATCCTGTGGTGTCTAAGGTGGCAAAACTACTCACAGGTACTTCCCAGTGCTGGACATTCACAATGCCTCTCTCTCTTCCACCCTCGTGTGGATTCTTTGTTATAATACAATAATATATACATTATTTACAATAATATTATCTGGTATAATCTAATAATGTAGTTGAACTCTTGTTCAGGTCTCCCCTCAGAGAGGGCTTGAATGTGATCTCTCCCAATTTCACGAAAGTTTTAAGAACTTAATATCTTTGAGGTTTAATAGCTACTCCCCTGCCAAATTTGGCCAAAATTGGCAAGTAGATTAAATGACACAGTTTTATTATTAGGAAAGGACTGACACACAGACAGCACAATGCTGCAAGCCTTACTTCCTTAGGAAGCCCAGTTAAAGATAGATTTTTAATCTCATTTTCCCAGACTGCAGAAAAAAGATTGATTCACTGTTGATGGATGCTGTGACAATTTCTGTTCTGCATATTGATGAAAAGCCAAATTCA